ATGGGGAATCATCTGCCTCTACATCTCCTTCAGCGACTCCTACCCCCGGAGCCCCAAGAAAAAGCTCACTCTCTTCTCGACACAAAGACAGACACAATCGCTCAGTCCGATTCGACCCAGCTCAAGTTGGCGGGGAATCCCCGAGCCGCCAGCATTCAGCCCGCGATCCTCGTGATTCCTCGTCGTCGACGTCTTCGTCGGGGTCGGCTCCAACAGCTCTGGAGGTGTCGCCAGCCGAGGGCTCCACCAGGAGCCGCCGCCAGCGACACCACCGAGGGAGCGGCTCCAATGGCTTCCCAAGGTCACGTTCGTATTCTGGTTCAGAACCCTCAGCCGCGAACAGAACCCCGCGAAAGACCCCGTCTGCGCCAGGCCTCGAGGACGCGGATTGGGACCACGAGTCCGTGTGCTCTACTTGCTCCTCTTCTTCCTCTGATGAATTTGACTATGAGCTCCCCCCAAGGAGAGCTTATGGCGGTGTTCGTATAAGTTATGTGCCTAATGATGCCCTGGCATACGCTAGACGGCAAGCTGGAAGTACTCAACCACCAGGGTCCCCCTCCACTCGTAAGAGGTTCGGAGAGAAGGACAAAAACTGTATTATCTCCTGATGGCTTCGTGCGCCAGTGAACTCTAGCTATGCAGCAGCCAAGTGCGCTTAGTAGTGACAGATTAGTGCTCTATTTTCGTCTTGCGCTTAATTTTTGTGGCTGCAGAGCTGCCTACCTCGTGGTTCTGGTGGCACTCTCTTCGGGAGAGAGCCAACTGAGGACCTTGCCGCACCAGTATTGTTGGACAGTGCCACACACACCATTTTAAAAGTATCTTATTCATGGACTGTCGTATTACATACAACATACATTGAATATTAAGTGCTCATTCATGTTGATCATCCTAATGATAAAATCTCGGAGTACGGCATTAATGTGCACAAAGACAGATCTTGTTTACACCTAAATTTAATATCAACAATAGTATTACAGTAAGTAGCAGTTTCTAAAGTGAAAATTGGGCTGTGAGAAAAAAAAATCAACATCAACATCATCATCCCTATAATATGCAAAGAGGCCAAGGAATGTTGCTGTGACATCATTCGGCTGAACATCCCACCAACATACTGGCCACATGTACTGTAGTAGGATAGTTAGTTCGGAACCCTTCTATATGTATAACTGCAGTCTAACTGAAGTGCCAAATAATGTCTTCCAAGACTCAACTGCGATTAGCAATGTGGAAGAAGAATTTCGCTGTCTGTTGAGACATACCTGAGTATTATTTATAGTCAATATTACCTGAAATGACTCACAAGATTAAGAAATGATGCAATATTTCATAGTAAAACATAATCTGCCCTGTTTAGCGGTTGGCATCCAGATATTTACATCTTAGTTACATGTCTGCATCGATCGGGTGCTTGTAATAAGTATACTTTATATATTATTGTAGCCTCCTATGTATACTACGTCATGTATTGATTACGTTTGCTATAATGGGCTACTTACAAATCCACAACACAGATTTTCCATTCGATATAAGTATCGCCAAAACAGTGTTTTCGCTGATAATGGAGATTTACAAACACTGGCCTATTTAAACAGACTTCAGACTTACAGACACCGGATCGAAATCAAAACAAAACATAAATAAACACGGCTAGATCCTGCAATCTTTCACCCCGTCACTCTTATCAAATCAAAATTCAAGTATTGAGCTGTTTTTTTTTCACCTTCATATAATACAACACACGTGCACCTAAAGTACTCGACAGACCTTCCACACACATTTCCGAATCCTGTGGACTGGAATAAAGTGCTACGGATGCCGACCGAGATGGATATTGTCAAACTGTGTCACCATACTTTGTCATGTTTAGAGGTTTGACCTAAAATTCTGACTTCTTTGACACGAGTAACTAAGCTTTATCGTTTGTTATCCTTTTGTAAATGTGTGACTAATTTCCAGTTTTAAGTATATTAGGTTTATTGCATTCATATCATCAGAGAATATAAGATTTCATATACGCGTCATTTATGCACAATAGTCGCATTCATTTTCACAAGAATGCTAGTGAAAAAAAACTGTTAAATCATACACAAAAAAAAATCATCCTGTTATGTGGCAGCTGTTGCATATTGCAGCTTGATCAGGCTATTCGTTGACACAACCCACCTTTATATTAGCTGCAGGACTCTCCTGTTGCACACATAATTGCGACATTTATTCACGTCTTGTATTCAGTATTTCTAATTTTTGTATAGCAGTGTCTATAGAGATTCCCTATCACTTATTAATGAGTGTAAAGATCACTCAAACACTGTACATTCATGTATTTATTTTGATTGTTGTATATTACTTGTAGTCTATGCCTTTTTATTATTGTAAGTTCGTAGATTATAAATGTGTTTATATTGCTAAAGCAGAATGTTCATAAGGAATGTAATATATGAGAATGGCTTTTGGTTAAGGGTTTGTACATATATTAATAAAACTGTTTTCCGAT